ACCAATCAGCTGGAAGTGTGTGCAGAATCCACTGCTTAGCCAATTATCACGCAGATTTCGTCTTATATTTATGCCAGCGCTGAAGGTCAGTTACCAATGTGAAGTTTCTATGCTGTCAGAAATTAGCCTGCAAGTCTTGCATCTGCTGAATTTATTCTAGCTAGGCCCTTTTCTGTGATTTACTTATCTGCATCTATTAACCTTTTACGCGATGACCAAAATTTCAGCCGAGACTGTGTATTCAGACCAGTCTCCTTCTTTACCCCAAACCGTTGATGTTACAACTCAACCAAAAGGTTGTGGTGGCGTCGTGATACCTCAACCTCCGGAGAAGTCCTACCTCAGTGAATGCTTCTCCTTCCTTTTCCATGTCTATAATGATATGTATTAGCTATCTGATTTGCTATCTATTTAATATATCTATTTACTTATCACGCACATTCAAACGGGGATCCATTTTACAGAGGTCAAGTAGTTTTTCTTGGATTTGGAGGGTTACTCAATATAGAAATCTTTGGCGATGTATAATGTAATCAAGAACTAACCAAAACAAATAGTGGAATATTTGATGGAGCTCCGCAAGTGACTCGCAATATCCACAAATGTCTGCTTGGATGTGATCAACCATACATATTCAAATGCATGTCTAGATACCATTGTTCCCAATCTTTCTTGGAAAGAAAGTAGGTGGTTGATGAATAAGCGTTGCTGGTCAAAATTTCTGTAGCTTTGTTAGTCATGGGTCCGGGGTTCTCTGTAGTCATGAGCCAGTGACATAGCACAGCCTTTCGTCAGCCCCCTACTCATCCGAATGTTTCGGGTGCTCCAACAGATACATCAAGCTTCGGTGAACACAGCTACTACGAGCTTTCGGTAAAATTTTTCTTTTACTTCTACCAATTTACTCATCAACTTACCCATTTAAGCAATCCAGCCGATTGATGGCGTTTACGTTTCCTATAAATGCGAAATTGTTAGCACAAGATAACTTCCAAAAAAGGATGCAGACCACCCTTTGTGGAACAGGCTGCAGTTGCTTCAGTATCAGTCAAGTTGAAATCGTTGCAGAAATCCAATTTATTTCTTTTACTCGATCCTCCTACCTTTAGCTACCTTCCCGCATTTTCCTACTCCCCGCCAAAGTCTCTCTTGCACAAAATGAAAGCGCAGAGGGATAAGGAAGGTGTTTTAAGTAAGCCCACCACCTTATTTGGCAAAGTTTACGACATGCCTTAATGCTTGCGCGCCTTTGCGACGAAGGCCGCTCATCACTGCCAAAAAATCGATAAACAATCTACAATCTCTCAAACTCGACCAATCAGATTCAAGTTCTTTTTGTACAGCCCAACAGGGTGAACGACTGTCCTTCCATGATCTGAGCCATGTCTGTAAAAATATCATCTTCATCATTTTGACATACTGCGTACTCACGCATTGCAACAATCGCTACCACAATTGAAAAGTCTCAAAAGCCGCTCCAGAGGCGCAAGTGGTCTCCACACGCTTACTACTTCTATTTAACCACTGAATTGAGCATTCCAGTGAAATAGTCGGGTACTGTCTCCACTTCACGATTATGTTATTGTGAAAAATAAACATTGAAGTGCCAAACTCGATCAGTTTTGTTGATAAGCATCCGCCATTGCCATAGGTGGCCATCGTGCTGTACTTGTATTGCATACTCTTCATATTTCCCATTCCATGTGTAACACAATCTAATGACGCTGAGTCGACTTCCGCCTTCGTGTCAGCCCTGCTAAAAGTCCGCCACTCCGCCTTTGCTTTACCTCTCACGTTATGCACCCTCCCAGATTACCTTTCCACTTACCGTGCAATCCAGGGAAAAGCCGAGGTGCTGCCTAGGCTGCTTGCATTCATCTGTGGATAAAGTCGTGTGACTGATTTAGGTCATTTAAACAGCTGAGGAGAGGAATCTCGTGACAGAAGTTATAAAGTGGAGCTCATCACTTCAGCAAGTATGCATTGTACCAGTTCTACATTGTTTTGATTTAAGGGATTCCATCAATCTAACTTCTGACTCTCTCGCCTTTTGATTCGATGCATCTTGTGCCACTCAACTAATACTCCCACAGTAAGGTACATCATTTATCACCCTCCTCCTCCGCCCCTTCCGTCACTCAAAACACTTTGACCGTCTAACACAGACTTTTGAATCAAACTACTTTGGTCAACAAAAAAACTTTTCATTCTTTAGCATCTACTATCAAAGGAAGCATTAAATGCCAGTGAGCGTGAGGTTCGAGTCTCACGGCCTTAAGATGCTTTGTCTCCACTTAAAAGGCGCACAACCAACCATTGTGTCTTTATGCATTTCCGTCTCACCTATTTCTTCCTTTCATGACTCGGTATTACATGTCAAGTATCCCCAAAGTGAGACCACGTGCAGACACCCTCAAAAACGTTCATCCTACATACCCACTTCATTACAAAGTCTCTCTTTTGTCTGAATTGAGTGAGTTTTCTTGCAAGCATTTACAAAACTGCAACATTTCAAAATGGTCGAGTTTGTTTACTGCAAGCTTTTACTATACACTTACAACTCGCAGTTTGTGCTTTGTTTTGCAGTACTCTTCATGTCATGATTGCAATCGCTAGCTGCCTCCTCTTCTTTAGAAGAGGAGAAAAAGGAGAAAGAGGAGACTGTTGGGGCCGCCTATGGTTGCACAAATGAGTTGCTTTGCTCACCCTACACATAAAATTAATTAAATCATTGCGATGTTGTGAAGAGATGGAAAGGTGGTGTGCAGAGAAATAATAAAAAATTTTGTTTAAAAGTATGTATGATTTACTTCAGGCACTGTGGTCTAAAGAGCGCTGATTTGACAACTCGACGACTTTCTGCGCACCCTCTGCCCTATCGCTACTTACAGTTCCAGTCAAGCCAACGATCTCTTCCACAGTTACAGTTTTCCTTGAAGTCGTGTTTGGCACCTGACACGACTTTCTAATCCCTTCATGGGTCAGTCGCCCACCAAATCCTCTCAGTGGGTGGGAATGAAGCGACTTTCTATTCCTTTGCTTTCAGGGAAGACAAAAGTTAGAAGATGGAGAATCAAGCCGCCCTCAATGCTCTACACCCCTTGATGACATCCAGTGACAGCGTGGAACCCGTAAATTGTTGTTTGGCAAAAGGCTTGGTCTGCAGAAGTGGAAGGAAGGGTGAAAGTTATGGACTCACATTCACCTCTATTCCATTTTCAATTTGTATATGACCATGTGGACACAAAATGTCGACCCCGGGGCAATGGACAGGCCACCACATGAGACTTTTATGGGATGGTGCGAGAACCGCAATCTGCTTGTTCGAGTTGGGGTGGAGGCGTGGGGCTTTGTCGTCTTAATTACTGAGAACTGACTCATTTGGCGAGAGGAAGTTGTTCTTTCACACCCCTGAGAGGTGTCCAGACTACATCAGATCAGGTGTATACCTCCTGATCGCGATCCTCGCCCTCTGAGCATGTTGCAAAAATGAGATGCACGTTTAGCCTTCCTGATCCCAATGACTGGCTCAGGAACGACTATCTGATCATTCTGTGCATCCGATAGTCTTTCAGACTTATGCCAAATTTTCCGCTCTGTCCAGTAACCCCAAGGTCATAGCCGCGTAGCAGACCAATTCGTTTTACAAGGTGCAACGAGCTCCTTCGGTAAATTTTGTGCCAGTTATTGCCCAAATATGAATGGCATCTTGCATAATTGCAACACTTTTAACCGAGCGCCATGCGCTTGTATCCAACACTCAGTATGGCAAAGATGGGTGGGCCATTGTGGAGCTGCTAGCTCCGATTCGGTCGGTTTCATTACCCTGACTTGTCCTGTCTCTTCAGCGACAGCTGCTTGTTCCAACAGGCGTTGCTACCCCTCACTCTTTATGCATCCATTGCTTTGGTTAAGGCGGCTTCCTTTTCACCAAACCTGTAAATACAATCCATCGAACTTCGGTAGCTACTATGGATGATAACTAACTTAAGGCAATTAGCACCTTAAATACATGCGATGGTCCTACTTATTTAAAATAAGTAGCAAGATGCCGCAATAATGCGCTTGCAATGTAAAAAAATCTTTCACCTCGTTTTAACCACTGCGTCGACTCCACCATGGGTATGTGCACATGCTTCGATGCAAAATTCACGTGTTGGGGCGATTTGATTGTGTTAACCTGTGTTTTGTGAGCACTGCGCTGTTGAATGTCCTATTCGAATGCCTTATGCCACCCTAAATATGTGAATTTTACGATTCTTACAGACTGCTACCGGTGTTTGAGGGTTAGTGAAGTGACCTTATTCGGGCTCTAATGGACAATCAGCTTGTCAGGTCGCCACAGTAACTATTCTCACCACCCAACTGCGGTTTATGATCTTAGAAGTAGGTTTAGAGGTGCAAAATCCTCACCCACCATCACGCACAGTGAGCATAACAGTTTATGAAGTGATTGACCACTCTGTGGAGCAAAACCTCGTCCATAAATCAGTCACCCATTTGTACGCAATCGCATGTTTGACTGAGAAAACCAAAGCAAAGGTGATGTGTACATTGTTGCATCTTTCCTCGAAGCAAAAGTCTTTTTTTCTGGACCATTTTAGGGGATACTGTCTAAATGTGCTGACTTGCTTCAATTCATTTGAGTGACACCGATACAGTGACAGCACTTCGCCGCATTAGACGCCAAACTGAATGGATGAGCAAGGAGGACTCGGTCCGTTACACACTGTATCCTCTGCAGAGCTCAAAAGTAACAATTTCCCACTCCTCTTCGCGAACAGATGAAATTCCAAATCGGTCTCAGAGTTTGTTACCAGTAGTGGCTGTCGACACTATGACAGTTCCTCCCTTTGCAGTGTGTAAACGTCAAATAAGAATGAATCATAAAATGCTTTCAGCAAATGAAGCAAATTGGTGGTTTGGTGAAGGAGAAAGTGGATTGAGTGAACAGACTTGTAGGAGCTAAGCAAAAAGCACTGTTAACTTTGTTATTGGAAATGGTAAATTTGGTTGTCCCATTCAATGCACCCCTCTTTTCCCTTAACATGTGAACGCTTCCGCAGCCCACTTCTTAGTTTGCGACTCTTGGTCGACAGATACCAAAGGGAGCTGAAGTGGAGGCCTTAAGGTGGAAAGGCGTAGCGAGCAGCATTGGTAGCGGCCGTACTTCAGAGCCTCCCGAACATCTCAAAGAGGATCCAATCATTCCTTCCTTACCTGAGAGGTGTAGGCAAGGTGAATTTCTGCATTTTTTTGCCAGTCAACATGGGATATGCATTGAGACAACGTGGCTAAAAGAAATTATTAGAAGAGGTGAGAAGAAAGGGTTTATGGGTTGCATTGAAACTTAATTTTTATCATCTTTCGATTTTGCCATTCAAATCAGCGAAGAAAGGGGGTAAAAATCGCAAGAATGATGATGATGATGATGATGATGATGGTGGTGGTGGTGGTGGTGGTGGTGGTGGTGGTGGT